AATAACACAATATACCACAGCCCGAAAAGATCATAACCAAGGCTCAATCAATGATTCAACACCCCAATAACCATTCCGCTCGAACTCCGCTATAACACCCAAACATAACCGCATCGGGTGTGCGTATAACCAACAAATCACAGCCCTTTGTAGCATAAAAGAGTAACACATAGAACATATCAGAACACGAACAAGCTCAACTCTAACCGAATGACACACCTTTCAGCAATAACGATGTTGAGTCAACAAATCCGACTCGGTGTAGAATACACATCCTCATTGGGCCTACTAATGGGCCCCAAAATCAACTCCCGTCATTCCCAAATGGATAAATAGCCCTCCAGAACTCCACAATGACCTAGCCATGTCACGTACTACCATCTAGCTAACTTTGGCCACATATTCATAGTCCGCAACCCCGAAACAATCTGCTTCTGGGAACTCCCAGTCTCCAAATTCATAGAACACATGAATCACCATAGCCGATCCCAACTCCACCACTTGAATAAGTAACACATCTCTCATACATAATCATCCCCACGAGAAATACTTCTATAATTCTTCCATGACACGTAGAAAAATCTAAACATCAACAGTTGATCAACCAGGCGAGTACCGAAATACCAATGAAGCATCTGTAAATCAAAACACAGTGTGCCTTCTGAAATGCGCACACTTCTCGGGCAATACCAAGTAGTAATAGCATTCATCTAGTCATCTCAAATCGTCCATGTTGTCTAAGAATTCATGACCTTCCCTTTAAAACTGAATCATGAACATCAGCATGCAAATCTCAATCCTACACAACACACCGCATCTATCATGCCATAATATGAAAAGCACAAGAATCTCATAATCAACTCTCTGTCAGCAGAAGAATACATACCCGATCAGTGAGAAACCATCCAGGAAAAAATCACAATATGCAACATGCTCCTCACGCGGGTAGGAAATATCCATCTCAAACCGTGATAGAAACCATCAAGAAATCTTCGAAACCCATTTGCACATAACCAAGCCATCAGAACTGAATCTCTCTAACTCAACCAAGCCCCGCAGGTCGCCAAACCCAAGAGTATTGCCACAAAACACCTGTAGAGACTCACCACATCATAAGTACCCAAAGAACCGATCATATCCATTACCATGCTAAGCCAACCTACTACCAAGATGTCCTATTTCTCCGAGTTCCTTCCGAATTTCCCTCAAGTTGACACTTCTCCTTGCCAGAACACCACGATCATTACCCAAAGCTCACCACAAGAGATCCTAGCATAAAACAACACCTCCCTAAGGCCCATAAGTCATTGTATTCCCTCTTAAGCATCCTGAGACACCCACTCTGAAGAGACCTTTTGTGAATCTATAGTTGTTTCCTTCACCTTCCTGATACTGAAATGTAGAATCCATAATGATATAGATATACCGCGAGTCTCGATACCATCCAGTGTAAATCTTAGATTCTAGCCATATACAAATCCAAAAAAATCTCAATTACTACATATAAATCTTAAATCCATTAGAACCTTCTTGGGTCATCGATTCTGCTCAAATCTCAATTGCACCGCCCAAACGGGCCAAACGACATGTGCCCTATTAGCACGACAACACCCAAAGAAGTAACCAGCCTTAACACAACCGAGCAAATTCCTACTCCATGTGCACTACATTCTTCACGAATAACAACTCAATGGTTCCATGATTCCCATATACCCATAAAGTGTAATACACCATGCATCCAGAAATTTTCTTGCTTAAGTCATCCTCAAAACCAACCTCTACAAGTCATAACCGATCCACAAGTATGCCTCAGACCGAAACCAATACAACTTGGACCATGCAATCAAATCGTCGATAGAGGAGTCCCTCACTTGTCCCAAAGCCATATATCAAAACACTCGATAAATCACAATGCCCATACTCTATTACCGTCATGATACTGCAGTGAGATTCAACTAAATCTTTCATAAGCTCATGTAACACAAACCATATATTACCTCAAATCATCTGCTAAGCTCGCATTCATGCTCGTGACGGTCAGGTCAACTTTCTCAACCAATCCAAACTCAAATCGTAACAACTATAGCCACTGGTAGAAAAGAAAGCCTCCACAACATCATAAGGATCACACATCCGTAGATTACCCCGCATGTGATAACCCACCTACTTAGCCTCAAACTGATATCTGTCTATACCCTTTCACAGCCACAACTACTATGCAATCCCTTAATCTTCCTGAGTCTGAACTCATCAACAAGACATGAAAATCTACTTCGTTCCACAAATGAAATAAAATGAAAGAATCTCTCAAAAACCTTCATAACTCAAGACTGTATGACACATCCACAGAAATTCAGCATCCAATAGTTCTTTTCACATCTCAAGCAAACTCTTTCTGTCACGTTCAAACCATCTGAACACATCCCGCATTCACATCCTACTCATCATATATCCATCTAACCACTCATCGAGCCACCAGTCCCACTCATAGGGATACCACCGGACATAGAAGTCCAAAAGCACATGCTCACACAACTGAAACTATCGAGCCTAAGTTGTGGTCCATCCAAGCCTTAAGTCCTCCAGACTGGCCCATCACCAAAACACAATAAACAAATCTCTCACCTTATCCATGGGATCCACAAGCCGTCGATGTACAGTTGATACCGAGCGCTCATATGCGCATATGAGTGAGTGGAAGGAATTGATTGAGTATGTAACTACAATTTAAGCAAATAACTCAATAGCAGAGATGATCTCAGTGGATCCCAACAGAATAAGCATATAGCCTAAACATGATTTCTAACATGATTCACAACTCAATTTATCTAACACGTAGAAATTACATGGATAGAAACAAGATTAGGTAACTACACAGTATCACAGAATCAACCGAGTCATAATTCACATAGTGCACACCCACGCGCCCGTCATTTAGCATGTGTGTCACTTCAACACCTAACACATAACATGTATGTTCACGGATTCATACCCTCAGCACCAAGTTTAGAAGTGTTACCTACCTCGAACAAGCTGAATCCAATACCGACCAAGCTAAACAATACTCTAGAAATGTCATCTCGCGCGTACTGACCTCTGAACAGCTCAAAACTAGCCAAAAGCAACTCAAGAACATCAAATAATCCAAAGGAAATAAACCCAATCGATAAAGATGGAATCTTTAATCAAAAGTCCAAAGTCAACCAAAAAGTCAACAAAAGTAGCCCGCCTTGGATTCCGAATCCAAGCTTACCGAGCATAGCTCGAACTAATACAAGCTCAAGCAAACTAAAACCGACTCAATCGGAGTCCGATAGCTCAACCAATTCGCCAAAATATCGCTTTTAGGTGTTCATAACCCAAGAGTCCAACTCACACTAGTTGGATCTCATATCTCCCAAAATACTCCTCCAAAACTCACCATATTCGAGTATGATATTCTCCTAATATACAATAACAAAACCCCATAAGGAATCGAGAAATAAACACCTCTAACTCATTTTCAATTTTTAAAATTTAGGATATAACCCTAGGTCTTTATTTAAAAAATTAAATGGGCTTTCAATTAAAATCATGGAATAAAGCTTAAACCAAGGGAACAGATCAAAGGGAAATACTTAGGTTATGATTTAGACCTTACCCCATGGAAGAAACTTGAAGAAAATCTTTGAATTTTCCCAATCCCAAACATTCAAGACGAGAAAAACTCCAACAACGCAAATAGCCAAAAACACCCAGCTATTTTGCCTTGTTTCTTGTGCCAAACGATCCCGAAACATGCTTTTGATACCTCCAATGGATCCCTAGTAAAATTCCAGTCAAGTTAGGCTTTTGAATCACTCCATTTGACCTTATAATGAAGGAAAAATGTTGAGTTTAATATTTGAAAATAGTGCAGATTTTTAAATACGAATTCAGTGGCAATTTCGTAATTAATCTTAAAAATCTGGCCATCCAATTCTTAGTAAAATGACCATAAATTCCTCATACGATGTCGAAACTTGATGATTTCAGTTGCTATGGTTCCAAAATTATGATACGGATATAATTAGTCAAAACACGAATCAAAGGCCCTTTTCTCAATATGGTAACAGTTATGCTCAAATCGACGTCGAAACCGAAAACAATCACCATACAACCCAAACTTATTCAAAACTCATCGGAATTTAACCAAACTTTTTGGACATGTCCAAAATCCTCATACAAACTTATTGGAATAATTAAAACCCAATTCTGAGTCCGTTTACCCAAAAATCAAACCTTGGCCAACTCTTCCAACTTAAGCTTCTAAAACGAGAATCTTTCTTCCAAATCAATCCCGAACCGCTCGAAAACCGAAACCAACCATACATGCAATTCATAATACATAATATGAAGCTACTCAAAGTCTCAAACCACCGAATGAAATGCTAGAGCTCAAAACGAGTGATCGGGTCGTTACATTATATTTTGCTGCAGTTGGCATTTGAAATCAAGCTTCATAAGGCACTCCACATTCTCCCCCTGAATCTGGTGTTCCATTCACTGATCCTGTACCTGCATAATCCCTGAATGTTTTTGCACATAGAATTATAAGAACATTGTTCATATTTTCACCCTAAAAATTGATGATACTATAAACAAATTTTCCTCCTAAATTTTTTTATGTGTATGAGACTTCTTTATCTTGTCTATATCATGTTTATTTCACAATATCAGTATGTTTAGTTTAGATGGTTCACGTGGGGGTAGTGACTCGTCGGATGCATATCACGGCCTGGATGCTAGATTTGGGCAGTGACACTAATGCCTATATACTTTATCCTGTTTGATACCAAGAAATTGACATAAACTGATTTTTTTCATTTAAAAGATGCTCTCCACATGCTTGTCTTGATTTTCTTCTAAAGTAAAAAGGATAGTATCTAAATGTTAATTAGTTTACTTGTTGATTGGATCAAAATTGCACACTTATCTAATTGAAAATCAAATATGACTTGTTTAATAAATCAGAAAAAATAAAATATTCAAGGATCAATTTTATTAGACAAAAAAAGAAGAAAGGAAAACTAACAACGGAATCTCTCTCAAGGCAGTACATTTGAAATCTCATTCACTACTATACTTATGCTCTTGCGTTGAACCAAGCATAGGAGGAATACTCTGTTCATGTCGAAAAACATTTAGTGGATCAATTTGTGTCTTAGCTTTAACCAACCTATCATAGTTATGCAAGAAATACATTTCACCCCACGCTCTAGCTCTCTCCACAGCATCAACAGAGGAAGAATAACTACTACTAGCATTTCGCAATAAGTAGTTGTCGACCATATTCACTCCAAGATCCATATCCAAGTAGTTGATATAAGCTCCCCTTGGCGAGCTTGAAACAAATGGCGTCATTGTATTGTAAAATCCTCTTATCCACTCCATGTAAACGTTGCTCATGTAATCGTCCTCTTCATTCCACTGTGCTAGATACTGAATCGCGAAAAGGTTACCTTTTCTATGAGGGAAAGCAATAGCTTGATCACTAATCTTGTCCATGGCTCCGCCATAAGGATCGAAGACAAGGTATCCCTTCGGGTTTTTCTCGAGTTCAACAAGAAATGTTAGCATCCCATCCATTGAAACTGGCTTCTTCACATAGTCCGTCTTGCCTTTGAAGAAACCTTTTCCGTCCATGTAACGTTCTTTCAGACGGGAGATATCAGCAGAGGAGTTACCGCTAACGTCAGCTAACTCAGAGAAAAAAAGTGCTGACTCTACCCAAGTCATTTCCTTGCATTCATCATTCTTAACGCCTAGCTCCGGAAATGTCTCATTTGATATGGAAAGAGCTTCAGTTTTTGGACCCAAATAAAGTGCGTTGAATTGGGGAAATATTTCAATAGGAGTACTATTACCATATTTCATATCCGCCGGCAAATCTGCAGGTCTCAGGAGTACTCCTAGAGTAAAATCATCGACCAAATTTGGAGTAACAATTTGCCATTTCTCAAGTATTTGAGCCACGTATTGTTTGGATCCAGGCCTATAGATCATACAAGTTGTTACGATTTTAGGCACTTTGAGTAATCGAATTTTCCAGGCATAAACAATTCCCCAATTTCCACCGCCGCCACCTCTGATTGCCCAAAACACGTCTTCTCCCATGGCTTTTCGGTCTAATAAGCGTCCATCAGCATCAATAAGAAGAGCATCAACTATATTATCAGCAGCAAGTCCGAATTTTCTAGATAAAAGTCCAAATCCGCCACCAGAAATATGACCTCCAGATCCTACTGTTGGCCCCGAACCTGCTGAAAATGCATGAACGTCACTTGCCTTGGCAATGGCGTAATAAATTTGGCCAATTGTTGCGCCGCCCTGAGCCCAAGCAGTTTCAGAATCCAAATCTACTGAAACGTCGTCTATTTTCATCAAGTCAACGATCACGAATGGGGAACCGTCAAAGGAAACGTAAGAAGTTCCTTCGTAGCTGTGTCCGCCGCACCTTACTCTGATTTGATAAGATGCTTGTCTGCAACAAAGAATGGTGCTCACGAGCTCCTCCTTGCTGTTTGGTAGGATAATGAGGGTTGGTTTTGGCATGTAAGATGCTGCAAATCGAAGATTCTGAAGGGAGAAGTCGAGCAAGTTAAAGTAATTACTATTTGGATCATTCCTTGTGGAGTAAATAGAGAAGTTATGGATATTGTGGTTGATTAAACAGGTTGAAAGACTTGTAGCTCCTCCTTCTGCTCCATTAGTAGCAGTAGCAGAGAGGGAAGTAAGTGAAAAGCTGATCAGAATTATGAGTGGAAACATGTTGTATGTATTTCTTCCAACTAATTGCTTCACCTCTCCGAAAATACATGTATAGCAGATATGAGCAGTTTGAGAACAAAAAGATAATAATATTATAAAGTACCGGGGGGCTAAGCGGCTTCACGTGCTTCAGGGGTGCGTAAAATTTATTCCCATCCAATATTTATAGTAATTTATTTGGATGGTTCTTATGTATTGTATCTTATTATTATTTTAAATATAATATTTTTTCGGTTTTAATTTAGATGAGTTAGTTTGTCCGGCATAGAGTTTAAGAAAAAGGAAGATCAAGGGTAAAATGAGTAAAATGAAGGATTAAACTTGAATTACTTTCAATTGTAGAAATGCGTCATTCATTTTTGGAACGGACTATAAGAAAAGTGTGTCATCTAAATTAAACAAAGGGAGTATTTATTTTTATGGTTATTTTAATTTTATTGTATCGTACTGTTAAGTTCATTTGTCACGTAACGATAAAAGATCCTTTATATGTAATGACAGATTTGGTGTGATCGAGGCGTTAGCCTTTTTTTCATCTTACCCTTACTATAATTTCTATTTTATTTTTACAATCCCTTTTTAATAATTTTTTTTTGGTAATTAGCTTTTATATTAATCACCAATAATATTTGCAAAGCACCATAGTTAGCTATCACAGCATAACTATCCTATGAACATACAATCTCCTGCTCTTCCCATTTAGCTATTTAAAATCTATAACTCTCCCTTTTTAATAATTACTCTACCTCATACTCTATTTTTACTTTGTAATATTTTATGTCTATTTTCAAATTATTGGTGTATGACACTATAAAACGACGAAAAATAATACAATCAATCCAAATATTTTATAGACTAAAACAATACAGTAAAATACAATACAACAATACATTAAAAACTATATATAACAACCATCCAAAACAAATAGTGATTCAATGAACACTTGGCATATGTGTTCACATATACTCCTAAACTAACAACCTTAGTTTAGGAGTTTGCAATAATAAATTAGTATAATTTGACGCGTGTAGTTAAATTTTTACCCACGCGGTACATAGATGTCCCTGTCCTGCCTTGATTAAAGATTCCCCTTAGTCACCCTTTTTTGACTATTTAATTTGTCTCTTTCTTTGTCTGATTGCTCTAAAAAGATTGATTTTTTTATTTTCTTACCTACCTCCCTATTATTTATACTATTTCTTCATCCTTTTTAATTTATATAATATACTCCCTCTTAGGGCTGCTTATCGGGCGGATTATGCGGTTATTTACTCTTAATGGTTTGGCTTATCGGTTATCGGCTTTTAGACGTATTAATCCGCTAGCCACACGATAAGTTATCGGGCGGATTGGTATCGGTTTAGCTCTTATCGGGCGGTTATCGGGCGGATTGGTATCGGTTTAGCTCTTATCGGGCGGTTATCGGCCTAAGTCAATCTATATTGCACATGACGCAATTTACCAAATTTAGCGAGGGTCCAAAATTTGCTTCGTCGTGCTTCAAATGTATACTGATGTTGGTCAAAGAATGGGATTTCTTGCTCTTGTTTTATAACTGCTCCAATTTTCTTTAGATGTCGCTCTAATTTCTATACAATCCAAGAACACCTGCCGAAATGTGTGTGGACTGACATTTTTTTTTACACGCAAGCAAACCTGCGGATTATGTGTTAAACCCAATTTAACAGCAGATTCTACTCGTTAAACTATCTCTTGTTTGTTAAGTTTTGGTACTTCCACTGCACTTACTGGAGGTGGTAAGAATACGTGAAGCAATCAAGTAAATTGTTTTTGGTTTGATAGGATTGAAAAGAATGCGCGAAGCAAGCAATTATAATTTGTTTAATAGTAAATTAGTAGTAGAGAATAGAGATAGAGTACTGGAAGTGGAAAGGATTTTTGATTATTTAATATATATATATATANNNAAAATAAGTGATTTTTTAGCTGTTTTCACACAGATTAAGAAATCCACCTTTTAACATTAATTAGCAATGAAATTGACCATATTAACCTTTACTATCTCTTCACATAAATACTCCTAACACATACTCCAACACTATTTACTCCAAGGGCAATGTAGGAAAAAAATAATTAATTCATTCTTGAAATCTGGAAATATCACTTATTTTGGACCACCAAAAAAAAGCCAAAAAATCACTTATTTTGAACCGGAGGGAGTAATATAATTTGATTTACTATAAAGGTTAAAACTAAAATAATTTTTTGAGCTGTAGAAACAGTTTCTTGCACAAACAGAGTAAAATTACGTACAATAGATATTTATGATCCGGCCCTTTCCCGAACTTCGCGCTAGCAGGAGCTTAGTGCAACGGGCTACCTCTTTATTTATTTATTTATTTATTATTATTATTATTATTATTATTATTATTATTATTATTATTATTATTATTATTATTATTATTATTATTATTATTATTATCATCATCTTAAACATGTGATTATATTTATGTGCATATAAGTCATAAGTATAAATAAGAAGTTCAAATGACATTATTCTAAAATTTAGAGATAATTGTGAAGAAAATGGCTTTTGCCCAAATGAAAGAGAGTTTGTTTGTTTATTTTGTGATAATTAAGCTGTCACGACCCAAACCACCATGTCGTGATGGCACCTATGGTGGTACTGGGCTAGCCGATTCTTTACCAAAACAACACAAAATTTTATTTCAAAGATAAATTCAAGATATTTAATAATAAAACGTCATAAAGAAATTCTAAACAACGAAAGTGCGGAAAGAAAAGCCCGACATCGGAGTATCACTAGTCATGAGCATCTACAACAATTTGTCCGAAAATACTGAGACTAACATAGTCTTGAAAGTAACTACAAAATACTATAGGAAGATAGGAAGGAGGAGAGCAGGGGTGCGATCGCCAGCAGCTACCTTGCTAACTCCGAGAAGATCTACAGCTGGAATAGTCAACAGCCGCTACCGGGTCTTGGTACGCCTGGATCTGCACACAAGGTGCAGGAAGTAACGTGAGTACGTCAACTCAGTAAGTAACAACAAGAAATAAAGGCTGAGCAGTAGTGACGAGCAATAAACATTTAAAGTTCATATCATGAAAGCTGAGTAAAATACAACAGGCTTTTAAAATCAGGGTTTGAATCAAATCATCTCGTTTAAACCTAGTTCTAGTAAAAATCATTTAAAGATATTTTCAATAGTAGGCTCAATGCAAAGGTGAGCAAAAATGATGAAATCATAAACCTCCCCTCGGGCAAAACATCACTCATATACAGCCCTTTCGGGCAAACCTGACAGTCACTCGTATACAGCCCCTCGAGCATAGCTCACCATCACTCATGCCTCCAAGTCACTCAGCACTCGGCACTCGGCACTCGCGCTCAGTAGCTACCTGCGCTCACTGGGGGTGTGCATACTCCGGAGGGTCTCCTTCAGCCCAAGCGCTATAACAAGCCAACTCATGGCATAAATCAATCAGGTCCTCGGCCTATATCAAACATGATGTGGCGTACATCCCGATCCCATAAATATCATCACAAATCAGGCTCTCGGCCTCACTCAGTCATAAACCTCTCAAGCCACTCGGGCTCTCAGTAAAAATAGGGTACTCAGCGCAAAACAACATTTATATGCATCAAAACAGAGCAATAAAGACTGAGTTATGAAATCAATAAGCATAAACATGACTGAGTATAGATTTCCAATCGAAAATAATGAGAGGATAGAAATAAAAGACCTCTAAGGTCCAAACAACACCGGCATAAGGCCTAAATATGGCATCCAGCCTGATTTACTGAAATTCTTTTAAAACAAGTGAGAGGCATGTAGTTTCAACAAAATATTCAACATTACATTAGATACGGGACGAACCATGTCACAATCCCCAACGGTGCACGCCCACACGCTCGTCACCTAGCATGTGCGTCACCTCGAAATAGTCACATGACATAAATCCGGGGTTTCATACCCTCAGGTCTAGATTTACAATCGTTACTTACCTCAAACCGATCAAATCTCTACTCTGCGATGCTCTTGCCCCTCGACTCGATCTGCAAATGCTCCAAATCTGTTCACAATAAGTACAATACCATCAATATATGCTAGAGGAATGATTTCCACAAGAAAAACTACCAAATTAGACCAAGAATCCGAAATTGGCTCAAACCCGACCCCCGGGCCCACATCTCGGAATCCGACAAATTTTACAAAACTAGAAAGTCCATTAAATCGCGAGTCCATGCATACAAAATTTATCATAATCCTACTCCGTTTGACCCCTCAAATCCTCAAATCAAACTCTCCAAATCCCAAGCCCTAACCCCTCATTTTTACCAATAATCTTCCCTAATTACATGATTAAACAACGGAAAATCACCACATATACGAGTATTAGGGCTCAAGCAACTTACCTCACCGATAATCCCTTGAATCCCTCTTCAAAATCACTCCCAAAAGCTTCAAACCGACTAAAAATGATAAAGAATGGACCAAAATTCGCGAAGGGTTCGGTCTATACCTTCTGCCCAGGCTTTTTCACACCTGTGGGGCCGCTTCTGTGCCAAAACGTCCGCATCTGCGGAAGTCACTTAAGTCCTCAAAGCCACATCTGTGCCCTAGGTCTCGCACCTGCGGGCCCACAGATGCGACAAATCATCCATATCTGCGACTCCAGTCCTGCCCTTTCATTTCCGCATCTGCGGCTACACAACCGCACCTGCGACCTCGCACCTGCAGCTCCCCGTCCGCAGGTGCAGAAACGACAGAAAAATTCACACCAGCAAATTCAGAAGCTTTCAACCACCATAAATCAATCCGTTAACCATCCGAAAAACACCCGAGGCCCTCGGGACCTCAACCAATAATACCACAAGTCATATGCCAATATACGAACTTAGTTGAACCTTCGGAACACTCAAAACAACATCAAAACACCAAATTACCCTAAGATTCAAGCCTAAGAACTTCTAAACTTCCAAATATTGCAACCGACAAAACCTATCAAATCACCTCCAAATGATCTGAAATTTTGCACACACGTCACAAATGATACTACGAACCTACTCCAACTTCCGAAATTGCATTCCGACCCCGATATTTTC